TGCCTGACGCTAAACGAATTATACGCTTACGTAGGTGGCAGACACTCCGGCACACAGTCTGAGGCACAGGCAGAGCAGCAGCAGGAGCGACCGTTGCACTATAGACAGAGAGAGAGAGAGAGAGAGAGAGGGCTAGAGAGAGCGACAAATGAATTGAGACGCGCCACAAAAGTTATAAATATTGTCGCCTCGTCCCTAGGGGCGTCTCCATCGTCTAGTTGCAGCATCGGGGATCCTTGTGTGGGCGGGTGTGCGGTGCCGTAGATGCAATGCGTATGCAAAAATATCAGCAGAGGAGAAGGAGGGGGAGAACAGCAGACAGGCGAACGATGAGGCGTTGAGAAGGTGTTTGCGATCGAATGTGCACCTTCAGAGCTTCACCCTTGCCTTGAACTCAAAAATGAAATTAATTTGTGCAAAAAACATTTGAGAATTTTCTGCCGGAGAAGCCCAGTTCCCCCCACCAAAATGACGAGGGAATATTATTCCAGGGTACATTACAGACTGCAGATCGAAGTCGTTAAAGGCTTGATAGGACTTTCATTCCACTTTCATTCCCATCGCAGACAGAAGCCGTTTAATTTCGGTCAACTAAAGAGGCGTCACCTCAGCCTCTTTTCCATTTCCATTTCAATTTCCAATCCCATTCCGATTCCCACATTTACTATGACATCTAATAAAGTCGTTAAAAGATCTGCACACAGTCGTAAAAGTTTTGTAGGGATTTACTACCGTTTCGGGTCGAGGTCGGTGCTACTTTTTATGGCGCCACGACAGAGGGAGAGCGAGAGGCGGCTACTGGCTGAGAGGATCGTGCCGCATTCCGGATGGGTTATGCCCCGTATCGATTGCGATTGGGATTGGGATTGTGCACTTGCATAATTGAAACCTTTTGCCGAGTTTACGACGATCGTAAAGTGATGGCAGTGATGGCTACTGGTTCCCAGTGCTGTCTGCGGCTACCTGTTCGATGTCCATTGAGGGAAATTTCGAGGGCAGTCATCGATGCTTATCGGTGAAAGTTTTATGACTTCGTTAAGGTTGGCAGCTGAGTTTGGACTTTACTGCAAACTGTCCCCCCCACCGCTGCGATGAGTTATCTAATCGTTGGAGGGAATCTCACTCTAAGATGACTGGGAAAGATGCCAATACATGCTGTTCCTTTCATCGATTGATGGCTAACCCTCAACCCTCAACCCTCTCAGTGGAGATGAAAGCAGCCTTCCTCCCCCTATTGTCATTGAATATCCCGCGACTGGTCCAAAGCGATTCAATATCTTCCCCATAGTTTAGCACGTCATTTCCTATTGCCCAATCTTTTATTGCTTCCTGTCTCGCTTCCTGGGACAACCTGCTGCTCCTTTCTTTGCGCTCTTTTCTCCTTCATTTTTTGTACTTTTGCCTTGAATCGCATTTCAAAAGGCAACTTAATCGAGCAAAATAAACCGTTTTCATATGCTCGAATTGAGGCAAACACGTCGCATTACACGCGGCACAGTGGTGAGGTGTAGACGGGGGACGCGGCAGCTGATTGTTGTCATTGGGTTCAGTTCGGTTCTTTGGGGAATATCTGGGGCCCTCGGGTGCCTCGGGTTGGGGTTGCTTCCATCTCTTTCTTTTTTTTTTTTTTGCACGGATTTTCTTGTTCACTTCACCCGCTGTTCGAAATGCGCGAAATCTCTCTCTCTCTCTGTTTGCAGGGGCGGGGAGTTTGCCTTTGTCAAAGGATTATCACTTCCTTTTGCTGGCTGGCACACTGTGGAGGAGGGTCGGGGAAGAGCTCTGCTAATGAGCTGTGCCCGTGGCAGCGACTGTGTAAGGAGAGTATCTTCAGCTCTGGTCTTTCTTTTTCCCTTTCTTTACAGTGATTTGTCCGCGGCATTGTCCGCCCTTCGTCTCCCTCTGTCTAACATCAATGAGAGATTCTTTCGATCTATGGTCCTTGCCTGTGAGCTTTCACTGTATCACAGTGCCTATCCCTGCACTGTTTCCCCCTGCCCCCTCTCTGCACAATGGCTACATGTGGGGAAATGCTGTTTCGGATTGACAGTGTGCAATATGCGTTGATTTTTTATGGCCTTCAATTTTGAGGCTGATGTTGGGGCTGGCTGAATGCCGGCGATGCCGATTCGCTTCCATGGCATGCTGGGCTGAGAGGCTGATCTCGAAATGCAGATAATAATTATTTCAATATGTGTGACTGACTTGCTTGAATGACTGACTGCCAGTCCGCGGAGACGCAGACACACACAGACAAAAAGACAGACAGACAATCCAGATGAACGCAGGGCAATGCCAATGCCATCGTCGTCGTCGTCGTCGTCGTCGTCGTCGTCATGATCTTCATTATCATTATGCGAATGGATCAAAACCGCAACGCCGCCAACATTCGATGGCCCCTGCTGACTCCACTTTTGCTCATCTGATGTTTGTGTTTCATTTGTACACTTTTGTGCACGGGGCATAAGGAATTTATGCGGCTGGAAGTCAAATGAAATATGCATTAGACTAAAGAAAAAACAATCCTCGCATTACCATAAGATATGGAAGGGGAAATTAATCGCTGGAATAAGACTGCTGCTGCTATGATTATTTATGGCCCAAATGAAACTTCCAACGAAATGTAATCAGAGCAAAGGAAAGCTTCTGGGAAGTGCAAAATAAGAGCCAAACAAAAATCGAATCGAATATGCAAGTGTAGCAGATTGTGCGGCGCTGGAACTTTCCACGTTTTGCTGTTGCTTCTGCTTTGTTTTTGCATGTGCTCCACTCAGTCTCTGGTCTGGGGGTTGTTCTTCCTCTTGTTTCACTTAATCACTTGTAGCGAGAGAGATGCAGAGGGGGAGAGAGAGAGAGAGAGAGAGACACACACAGTGCGAAAGAGAGTGAGGGACAGTGCGAACGAGGGGGAAGATTTTTAAGTTGAAAATTGAATTTCTAAGAATTACAAAACAACAACTCCGCCAGCAACAATACGAAACGAAGAGGCAATATCAACAACAAAAGTGCCGTTGGCATTGGCATTGGCACTGGCATCGGCATCGGCATCGGTATCCTCCCCATTCCCATCCCCATGCACCACCCTCTTAGCATGTATACCCATCTTCATATCCATATCCAACCCCATCCATACATGTCTTCAGCTTGAATCCCCCCAACCCATCCAGCAGCCACCATCCATATCCCATATCCCGTATCAGAAGAAGAGCGGGCTTCATTTCATTGCATTGCATTAATTTTGCCAATTAAAAAGTAAATAGAGCCTGCATCCTTCAGTCCTCCAACTCTTTTGCCCCACCCCTTTGGCCCCTTTGGCATCCACCCACAAGTGGTGGCATACGATGGATTGTGCGGCAAAGGGGAACGGAAAGGGCCACGGAATTGGCAGAACGCGCATCTTTTTCGGCTGTGGGCGCGCGCAAAACTTTTCAATACAATTTAATCCAATCTGCACACACACACACACACGCACACACACACACACACATGTGCTATGTGTATCTGTGAGGATTCTGATGAATGCCAGAGGCAGTGCCACATCCACCGTGGCCCCTGTGTCCAAAGTGCCTGGCTCAATTCAATCAGTTTTTCGGGCAGGGCTAAAGTGAAGCCCCGTCAAGTCGTTCCCCCAACCCCTGCACAGTGGGCTGCACGGCGACCATGGCAACAGCGCTGCGCAGAGTCGTCCCCACTGTGCCGACAGACAATTAAGTCCACCCGAGGGGCAACAACGACGGAAAGATGCGACCGCAACTTTGGCAACGGCCAGAGCCCTCAAACTCATGGCCCCCTCCACCAGTCACTTGCGATACTTACACCATGGAAAATCGGCAATAGATAATAGATATTAACAGATTGAGGAACCATAATTAAGGGTCTGCCTGTGTCACTTTTATTGAGGAAGTGTAGGTATACTTTTTACCCTTCCAACTATGCCACATTCTCATTAGAATTCATCTTCTTGGGCTTAGTTTCTGTCAGTGTATCTGTACGGCACCGTTTGACGGTGTCAATACTGTCGACAAGCCCATACATTTGTAGGTTGAACCACCTGCCTGTTGGCTGCCCAGCCGCCCCCTAAATTGCTTCGCATACTCGTATGTGGAGGAGGCACTTGGAGACATGCCCCTGCTGCTGGGCGGGGGTCCAAAGTGTTTTTTTGGGGCGTTTTTTGGAGGGTACACACTCGTACACTCAGACCCAGACTCAGAGTCTATGAACGTTCTTTTTCTGCTTCCTCAATCTTCTGGGGCATCCAGTCGCAACCGTTTTGTGGCGCAATTGTCTTAACCGTCGACGCGTCGCTTGCGTATCGCATATCGCACCTGATGGGTTGGGTTGGGTTGTGTTGGGTTTGGGTTTTGTGGGGTTCCAGCCAGTCGTCGCCGTCGTCGTCGTCGTCGTCGTCCAACCATTCGTATAATTGTCGATGCGTTAAGGTAATTGTACACCTAACCAACTAGCAGAGGCAGAGGCAGAGCAAGGCCGACCCATCTATGTATCTGTATCTATGTGTATCTGTATCTTAGAGCATGACGCTTAGGCTTTGACTGTGGCTGCGGCTCTATCTCTGACTCTTGCTCTACCTCTGCCTTCTGTTCAATGCCGTTGCCGTTGTCGTTGTCGTTGTCGTCGATTCACTCACTCGTTTCTAAGTTTACGTTTGTCGTCGTTTGCCATATTGGTGGCACGCTCCGCCGCCTGTCTTTGCAACCAGCCAGCAGCACCCTGCCTCCCGGGCCGCCCAATTTCCACGCCCTTTACACCAACAGCATTTAAAATTTTCCATTTCCCATTTTCCACTTTCCACTTCACTCCCCAAGCAACTGTTCAACTGAGTTCGGTTCGGTTTGGATCGGTTTTTGTTTAGTCTGGTTTTGGTGTTTGGTTTTGGTCTGATTTGCTAGATTTGATTTCAAGAAATCCCAGCCGGCGCCCTGCCTGCCACTTGCCGCCCACTTCCCGCCTCACATGGAAAGGCATAGCATGGCTTCGAATGAACACATGAGGAGCTCTGGTTTGGTTTTTGGTTTTGGATTCCGATTTAGATTCGCATTTGTCAGTCCTTTGTGCGATTTGTTTGTGCGCTTTGTCTCCGCTCCGACCTGAAGGGAGCTCTCCAATTACAATTGCAACAAACAAAAAATTATAGCAATTAAATGGGATCCCCAACAATGTTGACAATCGACTGACTGAGTGACTGGCCAAGGTCCAGTCGGTTTGGCACTGTGAAATGGTCTCAGATTCGGTGCTTCGATAGGATCTGTTTGCGATTATGAATTCTAATTCTGTGCTTGGGAGGGGATCGATATTTATTAGCACTCTCCGACAATTGTACACAAAAAAGGAAATGGAATTATGAAAATGTTTATTGACTATTTTGATAGAATGCAAATGGGGGCTTCCAGGAAAAAGAATTCAACTCGAAATGTGATTGCTGGATGGGATCAATGGGATCTTATGTCTTTTTTCTGCAGTAGATATTTCCATTTGAAATCTGCCGTTCAGCATTCCCTTCCAAGCTTCCCTGGCCCATCCTTGGATCCTTTTGCTGGCGCTTGTCGCGCGTTGCCTTTCGGCTGTTTCGGTGTCTCACAGGAGGGTTTGTTTTTCGGGGCCTGTTTCGTATAACTTTTATATGCAGTCATCAACAGCTCATATATATTTTTATTGCCAACGCGTTCAGCGATATGCATCTGAGGCAGAAACAAGAAACAGATCGGGCAACAGCCACATGAAGATGATGATGATGCGGATGATGACTATTTCTGCGTACAGATTTCCAATAAAAATGTTTTTCGACTTGAGTTCGGTTTGACTGCCTCTCCAGCCTCAGCCTGAGCCTGAGACTCAGTATTTCATCTGCCTCTGGGCCTCTGTGGGTCTGCTGTCTGAGCGTGTGTGTGAGCGAGATTTACACGCTGATACAAGAAATACACAAATGAACAAAAAATAACAACAACAAATGCCCATAAAGGCAGCCAGCGAGAGGCAAACATTGCCTGCGCTTAGTCACTAGCAAAGGCAAAGATCTCCCCACAACCCCAACTCACTCTCTCACTCCCTCTCTCTCTCTGTCTCTCTCCTTGGTGGTGTCTCTTTCTGGCATTTTGGGTGTAAAGATTTATTTCTTTATTTTGGCAGCCAGTACAGGCATCTCCAGCTCCGTTTTGTTTCTGTTTTTATTACCAGGAAATTTATATTTAATACGTTTTTTCCGCGTTTCGGGTGCGACATTGTCCGCTAACCCACTAACCCACGAGAGGTTCTCTCGATGCACTCTCCAGGCTGCTGCTCCCAAGAACTAACTGCTGGTTATCTGAGACGACCATCGATACATGGACCAGAGCAAACTAGGAATGGTGTGGGGCCGGGGGTCGGTAGTCAATTTTCAATGGAAGCAACACACAATCCAGCAGCGATTCGCAGAAGACTCGATCCTGTTGGATATTATTTTTTATTAATCACATCATAGTTGGCTTTATGCCGTTCAAAGATTAACCAAAGTACACACCTTGGGCCGTTATAGGAAGCAAGACTCACAGTCGCCCACGACCTCGTCCTCGACTTCGACTTCGACTTTGGCTTCGACTTCGGCTTCGACCTCGTCCTCGCCCTCGACTTCTACTTCGTCGGACATCGTTCAGCAGCTTCGACATCCGTTGAAGCTCCGGATCAATCCATTTCTTATGTGGAAAGATCACCAGTTTGAGCGAATCAAGGAGGTTCTGGAGCTCAACGCACTCGAGTTAGCCGCTGGCAAGAAAACTAAGTACAAATGCAAATGCTCGGCCACGAACAAACGAACGTAATCTCTCATTGACCGACACCCATTTGTTCTCCAGGGTTTCCGCAAAGAGGGTCTTCATGCGAGTGTGGCATCAGGTTTCCTTCCTGGATAACCAGCCACCCTCCCGCCCGCTCCAACTGGAACAAGCTAAGCCCGAAGAGTCCGAAGATAGTGACGAGCAGCTCTTCAAGTTGCGCAAGGTTAAGACATGCAACGACCTGTCCCGTTTGGGCATTGAGCCACCAGCCACATGCACTGAGCAGCAGGGTGGATTCTCTGACGATGGGGGCGAGGCAGCCACTTCCACTTCCACTAAACCAACAGGGTTCGCAGACATGGAAGACCAAGACGAGTCCATGGACGAGCTTGTGGATTAGAAAATTCGAGTAGCAAGCGAAAAAAGAGCAGCAAAGAAGAAATCTAGACCCTAAGTCTATAGCACAAATGAATAGTAATACCCGTCGCATCAGTAGAAATTAATAATATGCTCAATAAATTCGCTCGAGTCGAAAGCTCAGAAAAACGTGTGCAAACAATCGATCAATCAACATTTGACAGGCACACACAAAAGTCTCCCGTCCCATGGAAGCTGCAAATTCTCCAATTCAGAGACGGAGTCACAGAGAGTCGGGGATGGCTGACAGGCAGTCTGCCTGCTGTTGCTACCAATCTTTGAGTCGAGACTTCAAAACAATTACACAGCAACATTTCAGAGGCAGGAGAGATGCAGATGCACATGCAGATGCAGATACAGATACAAATCCGAGTGTGTGTATCCGTGCGTTGCTCAGACAACTGCCACTGTACGTACGAGCAACTGACTGACTGACTGCTGGCTGTTGATTCAAGCGATTAATCGATAACAAATAAAAACATTTCGACAACTACTTCCAAGGAACAGAGACCCAGTCTTAAGCCCATTCCCAACTCCAACTCCAACTCCAACTCCCAACGTCTCTTTGGCTGTCAACAAGTCGACATTGTGTTTATGAGTGGCGTGGTACGCATAAATGCCATGGAAATTTTCTTTTTAATCAATTATGAGTATTAAGCAAAGGGGCCAACCGTTCTCCATATGGGCAGCTCGCATACAGAGCTGTGGGATCCGGCTCCTCTCTCTCTCTCTCTTGTGCGATCGCCGAACGGGGTGAGACCTCAAACCGCGAGCGATCGCGCGCGCGATCCTCAGCCTCAGCCTCAGCCTCAAGATAAAAATCGCAAACATTCTTTATTGAATGCTGTAGATGCCAACGCCAGTCCACAGTCCCCCGTTCCGCTTTCTGTCTTTGTGTGTGTGCCCCTAAGACCATGCGGAGTGGCACTTGGAGTGCGACTCTCAAGCTGAAGTACGCGCACTGTGGCTCCTCCGCTCCTTGCGATCGGCTGGGAATAGATCCGCCATGGATGTGGCAGATATTTCGGGAGCTACTGGGAGGCTACGCATATGCCTGGCTCTCGGGAGGGTAGCGCACCGATCCCTGCGCCTGGCCACAATCAAACAAATCATAATCGGTGGCTGGCTGGCTGCGGTCGACAGTAGACAGTAGCTGCATACGCTTCAAACGGTCGACAGTTTGTCTGTCAAATTGACATTACACACAGCGAAGCAGCCGCCACAGAGGCAAAGTCAAGTGCAGCAGCAGCAGCAGCAGCAGCAGCAGCAGCAGCAGAGGCTGGGGCAGCCAACAAGTTGCATTTACATGACACATGCAGCAGGGCGCAGGGCTGAAGGCTCCTCTCTGCTTGAACTCCGGGCGTAGGCTGGGCTGATGAACCGAGGACTCTGTAGCCTGTAGCCAGTACCCTGTGGCATGGCTGATGCCTCGACGACGTTGCCTGTTGGCTTCTGTTTGCGGCGCTGACTCAGCTGAAATCGCAGCAGCAGAGACGCACGGAGTATACGGGGAAGCTCAACCTGATGATTTTCTGCATGGCTTGCCTTGGGTTCGTTCTGCCTTGGCAACCTGTTGGCAACTCATTAAATAATGCCGATGACTGGACAAATTTGAGGCACCTCCGCCGCTCCAGAGGCGGACACCCATAAACCCAGACACCCAGACACCCAGACACCCATCCACCAATATGTACAATCGTGTGCACACTTTTTGATGAAAAGTGATTAAACAAGCCCCAGCCGAGGCCATGGTCGAGGCCAGTCTCGAAATTTATAATCCTTGTTGTGCAATGAAATTGCATTTGACTGGGGACTGGGAGAGGGAGAGGGACTGAAGACGGAAGACTGAGACTGAGACTGAGGCTGATGCCAAAACGTTGGCGTTATAATTCTACCAGTCCATCGACCACCGTCTGCTCCGACTCCTCCTCGGGACTCTCCTCTGCCATTGCTGTGTGTGCCAAAGTGACACTTGTACAGATTTTCTTAATGCGCCAAAGTGCCACTTGTCGTCTGTTGACGCTCTTCGTCCTCAGCCTCAGTCTCAGTCTCAGCATCATCTCCATCTCCATCTCCATCTCCATTTTCATGCCCATCCTCAAGCCATTCCCATTTGTGTGGTGTGCATCCTACCGGGCAGATCGAAGCTGCTGCAAAATGTTGTTAAATCAGCGCTAAATGTCCCAAGACCAAGACAAGTTTGCAGAGAGAATGGAAGAAGAAGCCTCAAAACTTGTCCGTTGTCCGCTGCAGAGTTCTAATTGCTGGCCAAGGCATAATTTGTCACATGCCAAATTAATAAACGACTTTGCCCAGATGCACCTTTTGGGATGCCCCCCTGGGCACTCACTCACTCACCCAGTCCATGTCCATCAGTCCATCAGTCGCTCTGTCATTCAGTCGCTCAGTCAACTGCACAGTAGCAGCTGATTTGGCTTCAAGTTGGCCGAATCGGTCCTTTGATTGAGTGGATGATGTGGCCGATGTGTGTGCTGAGGGCTTCTGCTTTTGCTCCTGCTGCTGCTGCTGTGTGGGTTGAAGCTGAAATAAGAATGGGAATACCGCCAGGAAGTGGGTCTTTGCCACACTTTGGAGGGTGCTCAATCGATTAAGCAATGAAATTTCTGCAGAAATCCGAACAAGAGGGAATTCAATGTGTTGACTGAATCATCCTTGAGAACCGAATATGGTATCTATATATTCTTTATGCTTTCTGGGCTAAAACTTCTTGCATTGTTCGCTTCCAATCGCCGAACATTGAATACCCACAAAAGGGGCGTTCTTGGCCCCAAACCATTCAGCGGGTACGATGACTATGGCGACTCTTCTTAATTGCAGCTACTTGCCATTATTGCAGTTCCTATGGGCATTTTACAGGGTACGTCAGGGAGTGATAGGTTCTCTGTTCTCGGCTGGAAGTGCAGAGGTTTCTGTTTCAGGGAAGGATTTCAAAGTTAGCCATGCAGTGAGCTTGGATCCAGTACTTTCCAGCACTGTCTTGTGCGTTTACCAACACCCTTTTAAGCACTTATCAACACCGCATTCTGCACTCTCTTTGCTCATTTAAGCAACCGCTGGGAGTCCCACCAGTTGACACCCTCTTTGGGCCCTTTTTTGCTTTCGTTGAGAGCCCGCCGCCGGGCAGTCTTTATTTTCTTGGGTGTTTTTTCTTGCCTCTGCATGGCGCTGGGACTGTGGCTGGTGCTGGTGCTGGTGCTGGTTGAGGCTGCCACTTAATTTATTTGTCACCGAACCGAAGCGCAAATGAAGTTCGAAATGAAAAAAAAAGAGACATGCAAAGGCAACTGAAGCAACAACGAACCACGGAATCGTTTGAAATTACACAAGTAGCAAGCAAAAGAAGCAGCCAAAGCCGAAGCCAAAGCCAAAGCCAAAGCCCAGCAAAAACGCTGAGGAAATAATTACAAATTAAAATGAAACACGGAATGGGACATACAGACATACACACATGAGGAAGAGCTCTGGGGATGCGCCAGTGGCATCGGAGTAGGCATCGGAGGAGGCATCGGAGGAGGGTCCAATGTTTTACCCAAGCTTATAAATAGCTGCGTTGACGACGCTGGCCACGCATGCGCAAAGATTTGTCATAATTGATAAACGACAACAGCAGCGGCCACATACATACGATAGACTCCTCCATATCCGACGAACCGAGTGAACTCGGGGCGGGCGACTTCGATGCCTCCAAAGGGGTGGACGTGAATGTGGACGTGGACCAGTGTCGCCGCCAGTGGCAGTGACAGTGAACACTGAACAGTGAACACGCCTGGCCGAGCACAGCAGGCACTAGGGGGAAGGTGCCAACTACCTTGAACCTTTTCAGTCCAGAGACCCAACTACACTTTGGTGTGCCAAATCTAAGTTCAATTTAAAGACTAGCGAGAGAGCCTCAATTTGATATGTTTAAACTAGCTAGCGGATCTGTGAAAATGTTGCTCCTTTTCGTTGCGACTAGCAAATAATTTTCACAACGATTTAAACACTGAATTGGAATTGTTGAATGTAAATTCCTCCGGGTATATCCTTAGCTTTTCGCTCATATCTAAAACATCTGAAACGGAGGCAGACCTAGAAATGGAATTAGAATCAAAGCATTGATCTTCAACTTGCTGCTTCGATCGTACATTTTCAGCTTCGTTAGTTTTATGCAGATATTTTCCAATCATTATTTTAGATCCTTAATAAGCCCAGTAAATGATACTTATGCCAGCAAAAGCACTGACTAAAGCAAGCCCTAAAGCAAATAACATTCCCAAGCAATCCCCCAGTCGAATCTTTGGCTAAGAAAATCAATCGATCTTCGCATGGCAGCACAGTTCGACCGATCCACCGATCCACCGATCCACAGATCCACAGGGATCTATACACCTTCGGCAAGCATCTGTAGATCTCTGATGTGATGTGCACAGGTGACGATGACGATGACAACTTCAGCATCTTAACTGCACCTTCGACAGCGACAACAACAACAACAACAACAACGACTGAGACAGAGACTGAGACGGACACAGCGACAACTGCGACAACGATGACGCCAAATTGGCAACGCGTTTTTGTGTTTTGGTTTTTTTGTTGCTTTTCTTTTTTCACTTTGTGTTCGTTTTGTGTTGTTTTTTTTTTTGCTCAACGAACGTGAGAACCAATTGCTATGTATGGTCATTACAAGCCGTCCAGTCTGGATGGATCGCTTGAGCTGGGAGAGCTGGGAGAGCTGGGAGAGCGGGGCAGAGCGGAGAATTCAGAGTGTGTGTTGGTGTTGGTTAGAGCGAGAGATAACCCATAAATATTTTAATGATGATTACATTTTAAAAACGAGTGAACGAACGAACGAACGAACGAACGAGCGGCACGAAATCGAATGAGAAATCACGGGGCCGATCAAGCAAAAGCAGCTCCTACAGAGATACTCCTGGGGCAAGGCCTGGAGTGGCTCCGACCAGTGATGAGCTACTACGCCAGTGCCGGGCGACACTGACGACATTTTTGGAATTACATTGACAGGCCAAGTTGAGACTAAAAGCGATAATTATTGCCACAGCACTCTCTGTCCCTGTCCTCTGTCCTCTGTCCTGTAAGTGTTGGCGATCGTGTCTTTGGCAGCGAGAAGAACATGGTCTGGGCTGCAGAAAATAAGGAGATCGCAGCTGTTGCCACTGATCGACGGCGTCTTGCCAATGTAATTTCAATAATTTTATCTGAGGCCGCGCGCGTCTGCCGTGATTCGATTGGGTAACCGGTGAGCGGTGAGCGCTGAGCGCTGAGCGGTGACAGATCAAAGCCATCCCAGCACCCAGCTCTCTGCTCTGGCTCTCAGCGTCGGCAAAGATCACTGATCGCCAGCGATGGGTGGAGTAGAGTGGGGTGGACTCGGTTCGGTTCGGTTCGGTTTGGCATTGGCATTGGCATTGCTCCTGCTCCTGCTCCAGATGTTTAGCTGCACTTTGGCGGCTCCCAGTCAAGCCCTGTCCCTGTCCCTGAACCTGTCCCTTTCCCTGTTGCTGTCCCTGTCCCTGTCGCGATCGCAATCACACACAAAGCCAACACTCGAAGCGCAATCATCAACATCAGAGCGAGCGTCATCAGCCGACCGATCCGCTGCACTGCCAATTACTCGCCAGCATTGCTGACATGCCTTTTGCCATTTGCATCGTTTTCGTATTGATTTGTTTAAGTCCAGGCAACGTCCACTCGCCACTCCAATCCACTCCAATCAGCACACCACAATTTTCGGCATCTCGAACCCCAGCCCCAAGAACTGTAGCGATCCCAGCACAGGTTGCAGGTTCCAAGTTCCAGCTTTCAGGTCCCAGTACCCTGCATTTTTCTCCCACGGACAGCAGCGTGTGAATGAGCCTCTGCGCGGGTTCAATGTGCCGATCAAAAATATGTCAAAAATCTATCGAACTCTCGCTCCTCGATCGAACTGCTTGCTGTCTGGACAGACTGGACTGGGTGCATGCCTCTGCGATTTGTAGGTCAGTTATCGACCCAGTTTACGTGAGCGGAGCCTCACTCTGGGGTCTGATGGCTGCCTGTTGACTCAACTAGATGGGTGTCCTGAAATTCTAAATTGAGCTGCACAATTTTAAGGGGGGGAATCTTTCATTTAAAATGAATTACCCACAAGAACAGAGCTTCATTTGGGACAGGTTCCTGGTAGCATTGACTGCTGAAATGATTCCCAAAACAAACCAAGCAAAAGCTCCACTTTGGCATGATTTTATTTATGTTTCTTCTCAACTTTTTATGGCAATGTTTTGGCTTAGAAGTTGCACACAGATATCAAAGAAATTTCTCTATATTTTGGGACTTCTTTTTGATTGAATCTAATGGCCAAACGAAAGCACTTCCTAGTTGATATCAAAGCCTTTGGAATGTCGCAGAATCTTAAGCCAATGCCAGCCTTTGAGTACACGAAATGCGAAAAAACAGAAACAGAAAGCTCTGAAACTGAAATCTCTATCAATCAGCAGATCCACTTTCGGGTGGCAATTAAAATTCGATTGAAATCGCCACGAGGTGCACATGTTAATGGAGAAGAGGCAGAGGCGAGGCCTGTTACCGATTCACTGGCAGCAATTTTCCCACACCAATTGGCAAAAAAACATTGTGGATCGGGGACCGGGGATCGGGGATGGGCGAAGACTGTGGTGGACTGAATCCAGGGGGGGTTTCGGGCGCAGTCGCAGTCGCATTTCATTTGAGATTCCAGAGGCGTTTCGGTTCAAACATAAAATAAATAAAAATCAGTACAATTCGAAGAGCTGTTGTCGCCTTTGAGCTTTTGCGACAATCACTCACGTTGCCTGCCTGGTTCCGTCTCGTTCTCCCTCTGCCTCCTCTGACTCTTCACTCTGCTCTCCTCTGGCTGCACCTTCCCGTTCCGCAGTGCCCGTCGTTCGTTCCATCATCGGCAATCGTCTTTGAGGCCCTGATTCGTTCGTTAAACGTTCTGCGTATTGAAATGAAATTTGTGTCGCTCGACACGATGACTTATTCAATTATTCGATACGATAACACGTGATTGAATTATTGAAATAATTCCCCTCTGCCAGCCCTGTGCTGGCCATGTGGCAGCCTGCTCTTAGCCTGGTTTTCGCCTTCAAATCGATTTTGGATATTTTTCTATTGTGTACAAAAAAATTATACATTTAGCCACTTCACGAAATGGTCGAGCAGAAGGAGGAAGCGCTGGCCAACGGTGACCTGAACAGGACGAGCAGCGACGAACTGATCCTGATGCGTCGCCAGCGTCGCAATGCCGTTCACTTTGCCAGCATCGAGGAGTTCCTCTCCACGCCCTCAGACCCTCAGTCTGGAGCATTAAAAGACCTTCATGCGGGGTCCCGAGCCATAGAGCTCCCCCGATGTTCAGGCCCAAGACGATGGATCGGGGAGTGTCCAGAATGCAACAATCCAACAACAAATTGAACAATTTAAATGCAGCTTGGAGGGAGATTTACTCTGCTAATCATTGTTGCAAAGTGTAGAAACATGTGTGCGGGTTTTCACTCTTTTCACTCTTTTCACTCTTTTCAGTCTCCCCCCTGTGCCCCTTCCTTGAGAGCAACAAAATTCCCCAAGTTGACAGCTCGTTTTGCATAGTTGTGGCGCGGCGGGGCAACGGACAGCGCATACAAATTGATTATTGAACCGAATTGTTGATATATTTTTTATGGTTTGATTTATGATTGTCAGTCAGTCAAAGTATGCCCGAAGGCGGCGAGAGGAGAGGGGCTGAGAGCGCTCTTTAACGATTGAGCATCAAAAATGCTAATTGAGCTGTTTATCGATTTGTCAACAGCAATAACCCACAAAAGCCGCAGAGCCGCGACAATGGCCACATCATTCCTTCGCTTCATTGCTTCTGGGTTGCTTTCCCCTCTCCCCTCTCCGCACTCCACTGGTGCTTCACGCTCTCCATTGAGTTTTATTGACTATTAAAATTGTGTCAAAATGTGTTTGAAATTTTTTATTGTTAATTATACTGTGGCGGGCGTAATGTGGAACCAATAAACAATATCGAGACACTGCAATCGAATCGAGAATTCTGGAACAACACAAGACTGGCGGTTACCCCCCGCATTCCCCTTCCCCTTAGGCATAAACTGAACTAATTTAAAAATCTTAAAAAGCGTGAAGAACGAAATGAAATCAAATCAAAATCGAATTCGAAAACTTTCAAATGAATAGACAGGCAAATCGGACATGGATCAGACAACGTCCAGGGGCAGGGTCCAAGCGAAGGCCAAGAAGCGACAGGCTGCTGCCGGGCCACGACCACTGCCTGGGTTTCAGTTTCAGTTTGAGTTTGAGTTTGAGTAATGAGGCCTGGAGCTTGGAGATTGGAGCTTGAAGAAGCTGGTAGCTTGGAAGCTTGGAAACCTGGAACTGGTCGCTCCACCGACCGCCCTGGCCGGCTGACTGGCTGAATGACTGACTGACTGTCAGACGAGCTGACAGAGAGGCCCAGAGACCTGCAGAGGGAGTGTGTAGGGTGCCCTGACTGACATTTGATTATTGGCTTCCAATTTGTTGCAGATTTTGTTTTTATTTTCCATTCAAGCGCAAATTGCGTGCCCTGCCGAGGGACGGGACTGGTCTCGCAATCACGGTTCGCAAATTTGCACAAAAAACAGCCAACAGCACAAGCGAGAGAGAAACAGAAACTGAAACAGAAACAGAAACAGATACAGGGAGGAGGGCTCGCTCTGAATAAGCAGCGAACAGAAGTCAAATTGTGGCCAACATGGAAATTAATGGAGCAATGGAGCGAGCGGCAGCGATCGAAGCAGCCCAGCAGCAGCAGCCGTGATCTCCTTCTCCTTCTCCTTTTCCATCTGCAACTCCATTTCGTGGCTGCTGCTGCTGCTGCTGCTTTCAAATCGGAGGCAGGAAAGGAGTTATTAAGACAGAGAGGGATGGCTAGAGGGAGCCCGACCAGGCCAGGCCCGGCATTGCTCTGGTTTTATTTTTTCCCTTTTTTTTTTGCACTTTAATGAAGGCAGTTCGATCGATTTGGCTGGCTGCGAGTCGTGGCCTGTCAAGGCAGCTCCAAGCTGCCCCAGCAGCCAGAGCAGCCCAAGCCACAGTTCCAGTTCCAGTTGCAGCTTCATTTCCTCGAGATGGCATCGACTGTGATCGTTTTGTGTGCGAAAATATCGAAAGAAATTGCAGCGGGAATCAGAGTTCCATTTCCATTCGAAAGGCAATGAATTCTCAGTCAAATTTGCCGTTCATCTTCGATTGTTGTGAAGAGTTCGAAGAGCCATTATCCTCCATGAGTGCCACGATCATTGCTTCGTGTCACGCTGCCATCGCTGTGGCCAGTCCGCGGCACAATTTCTGGTTCAGTTTGCTGGCCAACGATGGCCAGAGACCCTCCATGCCCCCCGCTCCACAGCAACTCCTTGACTCTGTGGCAGCATTTTCGATCTGTCTGTCAGTCAGCTGCCATTTTTGCTTGGCTCGGGCAGCAGCCAGCAACAGCCAGCAGCCAGCAGCCAGCCAACCAAGTCAGCGAACCAATTGATTGACATTGCCCACTACGCCCTTTTGCTCGGGCAGCTTGGCCCCAACTTGGGGCGGTCCAAAGAGCGGCACGGTACCGAATAGTGCCAGCGTTTTGTGCACAACTGTACCGGAAATGTGGGAAAATGTGGAACCATTCATGAATGGTTTTGTGCTTCTGGCGAATTATGCCCCAAGCCAACTACAAATTATACAACAATAATTAATTAAGGCAAGAAGTCCACACACAAAAAACCCGTCAACGCGGAGCTCCATGGGGACAGCGGCCAAGACCTCGTCGGTGTGTGGAGTGTTAACCAGTTAGCCACAGCCAAAGCCGAAGTTCATTCAAGAAAAACTGACAATGACAAAAAACAGTTACTACAGACAGCAGCGAGGAGCTGGAGGAGATGGAGCAACAGTCGTTGAGCGGTCAAAGCCGTGTAATTATGAAATTCAAAGAAATGAAGCAGTTTCAGTTGGAAACAATCTCGAAACAACAAACAGGAAAATATGATACATGCGAGTTCAACTCAAACGAGTGTGTGTCTCATGACTAAATTAGCATGGCTCCGAGGCAGAAGCCACCGCCCATTGATAAAGAGACACTTCCACTTCCACTTCCACTTCCACTCAAGCCTGGCCCATTGACAAGCGAAGAGCGACTCCAAAATGTTTGACAAATTAATACAAAGCTCAGAGTCAGACTTAGACTTAGACTCAAATTCAATCCTCAGAGAGTGGCAGTCCATTTGATGTCAACCGCCACTGGCTGGGCCAGTTTGAAATTTGTAATTGGGAAGTGCCATAAACGACAGGTCCGACTTCATAGTTTGATTGCTTCAACCGGCCAAAACTTGTCCATTGGCTGGTGTGGATTATATTTTGTTTCTCACCATTTGTTCGCTTCTCGCTTTATGATCATTTTTACAACTATTATTATTATTATTATTTAAGTTTGACTCTGCCTGTCGCTGGTTTTTACAATTTCCAACGAATATGAGAACCGAATTTCATACTCCGAAATGAATTTATGGCCATTAAACTGTGAGTTATGTCTTTATAAGTCCATGTCCAAGCCGACAACTACAACACAGAGTGCCAGAGGGGAGATGAAAGCGACTTCAATTCAGGGAAATCGAAATCAGCTTCCAGCTGAGGATTCCAGGAATCTGGAATAGATTTTTCGTACTGGAATTTATCCATTCATATTCTGTTTGCTGTTTCAAAGCCATTTCCACCGACTATCAAATGGCAACTTTCCCAGCGGATCGTATCGGATCGGATCGGATCGGTTCCAGGCAATCTACAGCTGACAGACAGACAGACAGACAGACAGACAGGGAGAGAGAGAGAGATTTTGTTCTTTAACAATTAGCAACCAACTCCTGACACTTTGGTGGAGTTGGTTTTTGCAGTTCTCTCATCGCTTCAATTGAGCAGTCGCAAAAGATTTTCCATTTGCCATTTTCCCAGGCATCCATTTGCCAGACGTGTACACATTTCTAATTAAATTTTCAAAGTTGTTTTTCCCCATTCTGGGCAATTTTTGATTGACATTTTACATTAAATGCTCCTCCAGCCATGGAGCCGCACTGCTGCAACGGAGAGCAGCGATAGACCAAGTCTGGCCACGGAGCAGCGGAGACCATCAGCAGAGCAGAGCAGCAACGTTGAAATTGATCAATTTCACATAATTTCAAGGCAAGTCGGACGCGGTAATGCAAATCCGACAGATGCGACTACGATTCAGCTTCAGTCTCAGTCTCAGTCTCAGTCTCAGCCTCAGCCTCAGCTCTGACTGGGGAATGTTAGAAGTTAGCTTAGATCGCTCAAGCATTGCTGAGGGAGATGCAGGCAGGGAGTCAGCCAGCCAGCTTTTGGGGAGGAGAATGTGGCTGGCTGGCTGGACCAGCTTATGATTGACAACAGCTGAATTGAGCCGCTCTGTAAGTCCAACCGAACGAACCGAAAACCCTGCAGATCCTAACCGATCTGAACCGAAGTGATGCCTCCCCTGCCCCTCATCGGCTGACAGCTTGACGGGCTTTGGGCGCTTTAAACGTTTCGGTTTCGGTTTCGGTTGCGGTTGCGGTTGCCTCCCTCGCGCGCATCACCTCTGCTTTTGGCCGCTTTTAATTGCTGGCCGGGCCAACTCTTCAGCCTCTTTCACAATTCTCATTGATCTTTTCTCGAATGTGCGCAACTGTCGGATTTTGTGAGCTGTCAGTGGCTCGACTCGGACTCAACTCTGGCTGTGCCTCGTGTCCCCGCTCTCTCTCTCTCTCTCTCTCTGTGGCGTGGCATATCTTTGATTTGCTAATTAACGGTTTGTCGGTTCAGTTTGACAGTTGAACATGAGTTCCTGACATTTCTCTCTCTCTCTGTCTCTCTTTCGACCAAAGTTTGGCCAAGAGTTTGGAAGTTGCTGCTGCTGCTGGTAGCCTCATTGATTTTGCCATCCAAGGTCAGAGATTCTGCTGGGTTTATTCGTTAATCTCTCGCTCAGTTCTCATGGTCCCAGGCCGGAGTTTGGCTTCCTGGATTTTCCTCCTATTTTATTAGCATTTTTGTGTTAACAATTACAAATCGCTGTTGCAGGCCCACAATTGATGGTCAGCCGAGTTCCTCGACACAAGACACAACATTGTTAACACCTTGGCTATGTCCGAGTTGGAGTCCGAGTGTGCTGTTAATATTAATGATGATGTGGTGTTGATGTTAAGTGCAGTTTAATAAATGAATTGTCTCCCATCCCGCGAGAAGATGGCTGTGCACGGTCCATGGTCCACGGTCCACGGCT